ACGTACTTACTTACTTACTTACTACTACTACTCTCTCTCTCTCTCTCTCTCTCTCTCTCTCTCTCTCTCTCTCTCTCTCTCTCTCTCTCTCTCTCTCTCTCTCTCTCTCTCTCTCTCTCATTTTAAATAAATTTTGGTTGTGTCGCGAGATAACTGAAAAAATTATTTTTTATAAATAAGAATAATTTTGAAAATTGTTGAAGACACAACTTTAAAAAAATGAGACTTGAGAATTGTTGAGGCCTCAAGTACATATTTTTTTCTTTCCAATTTTATAAATCTGAGCTGTGTTGCAAGTTAAGAGAATTTTTTTAATAAGAATAATAAATAAATAAATAATAATCTATACTTATTGAAAATCATCAATAATAATATTCTCTATAGTTATTGATGATTCTTTATAGTAACTAAGAAACAATTTAAGAAGAATCATCAAATCTTCAACTTTCGTTTTTGCTAAATTTGTTGCAGTGCAATTAAAAGAATTTTTTTTAATAAGAATAATCTATAGTTATTATTATTTTATATGAAGATGCAATCTTAGAAAAATACAACTTAAGAAAAACCGTTGAATCAATCGTTAAATTGTCAGTCCGGCGTCTCGCCCATTTATTTCGAACACGTATCTTTGCGAAGAATGTTGAAGATACCGTTCACTTTTTTATTGCCGAATGTTACTATATTCGTACCGTTTAACATTTGTGCGTAACCCACATATAATTGCGGTGTAATTTCTTACGCGGCTGGAAGCAGTGTGTGTTTATCGACGCCGTGGTTTACGAGACGTCGTTAAAAACGCTGTTGAAATCCACTTCCTAGTCTCACGTAAGTGTGCCCTAAAACGTACACGTGCTGAAGAGCGGTCTCTCCTTGCAAAAAAAAAAATGGACCCGCGAAATATGTAAATACGTCCTCGCAAACAATTGCTGAGAATAAACTCGTCGTGAAATCGATGCGACGACGCATTTACAGAAATTAACCGCAAGAGAGCAAAACCGGCGATATTCAGATAAAAGCTATGCTCGCGAAAAATCATTATGCGTGTAAATAATTACAAATTCGCGAAAAATATTCCACAATTGATTTACAGTTAATTTCCCCCCCCCCCCCCGCGACAAAGGTAGTCGCAATTTATTAAATTCTAATTAAAGTGGAATAAACGGTTCCACTGTAAACTCCACTTATATAAAAACAGTTTTTAATATTCGTCGCCGATTGAGAATGCCGATATATATATTTAATAGCAGAACGACGGCGAACGACGGCGATGCGAACGAAAGGAGTTCAAATGTTCTTCGATAGAGAATAGCTCCGTGAAATTGAACTCGGGGCCATTAACTCGAGGATCGTTACCGCGCGATGCGTATTTGTCGTCGTTGTACGTAGCTCGGTGAAAAGTTGATGTTCGTGCAAACACGCCGGGCTCGTAACGAACGCGCGTACAAGCACGACCGAAGTATTTTCATCTCCGACAGAACCGTATAATTTCAAGTCCGTTAACCAAATCGTATCCGTGAGCCAAACAACTGCACAGGTGTGTTATCCGTTTCATTTTACTACTTCGCTGCTACTTGACGCGGCGGCCATCGGTAGCAAGGTAAATATGTTTCTCTCTCCCTCCCTCCCTCCCCCCCCTCCTCTCTCTCTCACTACAAAAAAAAAAGAGACAAAAAGGAGGAAAAAAAAAATAACGGAGCGCGCGTTTCTGACTTTTACGTCATCTCGGAACAGCCGGTGCATTCCGGATAATCGTGATAATTCGTCGTTTTCACATCGTTAGGAGTCGCACGTTCGGCCGAGCTGCTCCGCTCCGCGCGTAATCCCAGCTAATTATGAATAATATAATTAGGCGGGGAGGATTCCCATGGTTTCCCTTTTGTAAGATCGACGATGAAGCGGATGAGCGAGCGACCGACGAAACGACCGACTCACCGCAGCCGCGAGGGGAATCGAGTGTCGGCCAAGAGCGATTGAAATAATGGCCTGTGTGAAATTTCGAATCATGTCAGCCAGGGACATGTAATCGTGATGTAATTCTTAAGTGTGATACCGCATGATTGTTACTGTAGACACCTACTCAGAGCATTGACGTGCAATCGTCGCTTTGCTCTAGAATTTTAATGTGGACGTCCGGAAGTTACAGGCCGATTTCTCTTCTTTCATGCATTCGCGACAATGAAAAAAATAATTTCTTTTTTAAATTATGAGATAATATCTTAATACAGAAATTTTATCTCGGTGTAATAATTTTATTTAATTACGTTTTAGCAAAATCTCAATAATAATTTCTCGACTGTATGTAATCTTTGCTTATGCTATGTGTAATATTTGTTTTCTCTGCAAATATAGCCTTTTCTTGAATTAACGATTTTAAAATCTAGAGTTTTTCGCTCGTTTGAAAAAATTAAAACTTATTATATAAAAAGAATAAAAAATAAACTGACTAATTAATACTTATATTAGACTTGTTGATCAATAGTAGATCAAATAATTATGAAAGATATTTTTAAATATATTAAAATATTTTTGCTGCATATATTTCATAATATAATTAGAACTTTCTTGATTATTTCTTTGCCAAAAGAAGTCTGATTACTTTTATGCAATTTCGATAATAACAATATATTTTGTGATGATATTAAATAAATTCTCAAAGTTTCTATTTTCTTCAAATTTAATATAGCATAAAATTCACGAGTATAATATAGAATTAAGTCGCAATAATGTTCAGAAAGAAAGTTTTGTATCTAGAGAAAAAGATCTTTTCCTCGCAATCTGAATTTTTCGCAACGCAAATCGCTTTTATCGCTCAGCTCCAAAGCTATCTGAGAATCGCTCGTAGATTCATTCTTTGATAATAGCGTTATCCAGGATCTTAAAATATCAACGAACGCGGCGCGTACTCGCGCACTCGTGGAAAAAGGAATTCTCGCGCGACGATGATGGTGATCGTACGGATTCCTTTCGCCGGTCTCACCTGATAGCCGATGATCCGACGTACCGATCTATTCAATCCGCAGGAATCCGCTGAATCATTATCGTCGATTTCCCTCCCCGATGGATATCTCTTACTCCGTCTCCCTTGGAGGACGCGACGTCGCGACGTCGCGATATTCAGTGACGTACGATCCTTCTTTTCTTCTCCTCTTTTTTTCCAGTCGAGGGTACGATCGCGAGAGCGCGACGGCAACGAGTGCCAGCGGATCTCGCCCGATCCCACTCGATCGAGCGATCACGGAGAACTGAACTGAACGCCGTACGCGAGCTCCTCGACGCTTCTCTCGTCGTCACGCAGAACCGTGACAAGCCCGATCGGCGCCCTCGACCGAGCCCCTTCGTCTTGATTTTTGATCTCGATTCTTTTTTTAATTTTCCTCTTGCGCCAGAGATCCGCTTGGATACCTTGGTCCTGCCTTCGCCTGCATATCACGTAAAAAATACGATAATTATAATTCATAATAATAATAAATATTAAGGGAAACCGATTTATTCCCAGCGTGGCAAATTATTGGAACAAAATTTATAAAAAACTCGAAAATCGATCTCTGTTGCTGAATTTGATCCTCGCAAATAAAAACCTTTGCGAAAAGATCGGAGCGTGTCTGTTATGAATGTTTTTTTTTTTAAATATATGATAAGCACGTTGCTTGCGTGAAAGAGATAAGGCTTTTAAATACTTGGAAGTTTTCACAGATGATTTCCATTGCAAAGGCACGTTCGTTGTAAACATGATGGAACAAAACTGTACATATTACATAAAACATAGAAGAAGCAAATGATATATGTATTTGGAGAGAAATTAGACACTGGAAAAGTGATTTCTTGATTGAAAATCATGATATGAAGCATGATATCATTAGCTCATTTACCAAACTGTTTTATATTAAAAGAAATAATTTCAAATTTTTATAACAGAAAATTATTTTATTAAATAATTAATATGTAAAAATAAAAAAAATAATTAAGAATTCTATAGTTTCAGTCAAAGTAATAATTTTTACAACACTTAAAACAATATCTCTGATTTAATTTAAATCATTTTATAAAAAAAATAAAAATATAAAATATTCTATGAAATCTACGTGCAAATAAAAGTTAAATGGACAAATAATAAGAATAATAAATATATCATAGACGCTACAAGAATATTTTCAAGAGATCTGAGAAATATTGAGGCGTGATTTATAATTATAAAATAAATAATCGATTAGTAGGATAAACGATAGGTAGCAGATTCAACCTGCGTTTAGATCGCGAAATCACAAATAATAGGAACTATTTCCTATTATTTGTGAAAATAATTGTGGAAAAGCAGAATGCTGATTGGCTGTACGTCACTTTTTAGCACAGTCACGTGCTGCACGCAAGAGCCAATAATAAGATTTGTTCACATCGCTCGCACTCCCTAGATTTCTTACCTAAAGCGAGACATACGCGAATGTTGGAGAAAGAAAGAACGAGGAGCGCGAGTGCAGAAAGTGCAAGTAACACAACAAACCTACGGCTTGTTCCTTTTAGCTGAACTTCTCGCACGGTTCATCTTTTCTCTTCTTTTCTACAACACAGAAAGGAAAAAGAGGAAAGATAGACTATGTAAGAGTTCAGCTAAAAAGAAACAGACTTCTGGCCGTTCGGTGCAGCTCGGTGACGATCTAGTAAATAGATCGCATCATTCGATTGGTACACACATATCAACACCAGAGAACTCTTCCGTGCCCTGTTCCCCGCAATGCAGAAATGCCGCATTATGAATCCTGCATTATTACTTAATTTTTGTGTGCCATAGGCTGCGTTTCGATATTCACTGCCAGTACTGAAAATCTACAGTTCATGTTACGTATATACTGTAGATTTTCAGTACTGGCGATATATATCGAAGCTACATCAAACGTACCGAGTGAGTTACGTTATTGGCTGCGTTCCGATATTCATTATCCAAACTATATAATCCATGTAACATATATTATAGATTTACTAGCAGTAAATATCGGAACGCAGCCATTAGGCCTGTTCTACAATGCGTCGTGTGTCGGTGTCGTGAGAACGGACCAATCATAGACGAATGTGGAGAGAATACTTGTGATTGTGATTGGCCCATTCTTACGGCCACGCACTGACACAGGACGCATCGTAGAACAGGCCTCATACATACTGTCAGGGATAGTCATCTGAATCACATGTCTTCGAAGGAAGTTACCTTATTTGTTCTACATAGACCACGTGTTTATACAAGTTAGAAACAACTCAAAGGAACGGATATTTGTAGCAGTAAATATCGGAAATATCGGAAATATCGGAACGTAGCTGGTACTACTGAAAATCTATAACCTTTGTTAACGGTTAATATCTATAAGAGAGTAGAAGAAATCGTGTGTGAGATTTTTCGGAATTTTGTAATTAATGTGGGTACACAGTATATGAAATGTAATAAGAACCGCACATCTTCGCTATGTCTCGAATAACCGATGCAAAAGAAGTGATCCTGACCAGCGACACCACCGGAGAGAATTGGAGTGCCGCTGTATGGGATCCTCGGAACGGTTCTCTGTTGTCCGTGTATAAAAATGCGACGGCACTTGGGCATCGCAGCCTTCAGCTTTTGAGCGACGGTTACGTGCTAGGCGCGAGTGCTACGAGACCCTTTATACACATCTGGCCGTTGAACAATCCGTCACCCTTGCCTCATGTTCGACTGACCACACCGGGTAAAGTGAGCGCTTTAACTTGTACACCGAATGGCTCGTACATAATTGTTTCTGCGAGCGAAAAACTGTTTATCTGGCAGACATGCAATGGGAGATTAATGGCCAATCTGACAAAACATTATCAAACTGTCAATTGCCTAGCCGTCACAAAGGACGGTTCACTGTTTGCCAGTGCTGGCGAAGATGGCCTGGTATTGGTATGGTCGCTTTATAGTGCGTTGAATGATAACAATTGTTCTCCCGTTCACACCTTCAACAATCACAATCTACCAGTCAAAGATTTATATTTTAGTCACGGTGGCGCTCGTGCGAGATTATATACGGTCTCGTTGGATCGAACCGCAAACGTCTACGAGCTTGGTAGCGGAGACCTTCTGCTGTCATTAGTGTTCAACGTACCGCTTACGGCGATCGCCGTCAGTATCCGCGAGAGCGATCTTTTTGTGGGCTGTACGACCGGTGAGATATTTCAATGTAACCTACACGAGCCGCCACGTGGGATTGAAAGGCACGTAACTATGGGGAAAAACGCGGACGAGGACAGCGCCATATTCCGAGCACACAAATCAAACGTGACCGCTTTGTCGGTATCCATGGATTGCCATAGGCTGCTGTCCGGCTCCACCGATAATATGGTTCATATTTGGGACATTATTAGCCGACAAGTGCTGAAAACACTCGAGCACAAGGGACCGATCACCGCAGCGTTCTTTGCGAGAGGATTTGAGAATTTTCGTGTTCCTGTTCTCAAACCACGCTTACGAGTACATAATCTACAGACGATATCGGAAAACGATGGCGGAAAGGGCGTTGTTGAAGTCGTTTCTAGAGGACGAAATGCGACAGATATTTTGAACTTTGAATACTACGTAAAAAATAATAGCGAATCTGATGGATTATGTGAGGTACCGAGAGAGTTGGAGAATACGCAAAGAGAGATTATGAAATTAAAAAAGATCAATGCTGCCATGTATCAATACCATGTTACACACTTGTTAAATGATATAATTGATGACGAATAAATTACATTACACATATAATATACTGCGAGATTTTAAATAGTCTTGTTCACAGAGAAAAGAAAGAAAGAAAGATTGATGAAATTTTAAAATTTATATATGTTATCCAGAGGATATAGGTAATGTGTGCAGGATGTTCATAAAATGTTCTGTGATAGTTCGATATTTTGTAAGTATATATTTTGGAGAAAAATGTTTTAAATAAAAATAGTAGCGTTTCAAGACACTTGCTGATGATTATGATTGATTCATTTACAAATAATGTCGTCATTGTCCATATTTTTTATATATATATATTGATATAATATATTAATTAGTAATATAGCCTTCTCGAAACTCAACCTTTGAAACATTTTTCTCAAAAAGGTATACTTGGAAATATCCAGCTGTCTAGGAATATTACAGACACTCCGTATATTGACATCAAAAAATACAATAATAATAACTGCGTTTATTATTCGGTAAAATAAGATGTGTTTTTACAGTGTTTGATTCCGTAACACTATTTCAAAATGAAGACTAATATAAATAATAACATGCTCTATGAGCTTAGCATTCTAAGGAATTATCTTAGATATTATTATTCTAATTCTTTATGTTCTGTATTAAATAAAGGATTTATTGATATGATGAAGTAATTTTGTTTTTCGATATTCTTTTTAACGCTAAATTATTTTTTTTTCTATTTTTGTTGTAATATAAGAAGTTATCAGCTAGTGAAAAATGGCTGGTATATTCTTATCTTATGTATGTACATTAATAGAAATCTTGGAGAAGTTCAATATCTGTACCACTTTCTTTACTCAAAATAAATTCATTAAATATATAATTTTTATGTCTGTATTTGTACCTTCTATTCATATTCGTATACAGGAGATACACGTGTATAATTAATTAAATGGTAAACTGACGCTAAACGTTAGATACGATCTTTATCGACGCTCCTTTATATTTAAATGAACCGTTATGTGCATACAAATGAAACACTCACTAACAGTATATTGTGTTTGTCCGCGAATAAATTAAACTACGAGGCAGAAATATTTATTTGCACATTGTCTCTTTAGACGAAACGATAAGGCACTGGTTTATTTAATTTTCATCTCTTTACATCCGGCCATTTATAAATTTGAATCAATTGCGCCACGCTTTTATTAATTCTTTTAAAGAAGATATTTATTGGGAAAATAAAACCTATGAACGACACTGACAATCATGTGAAACTGTAGTTAAGATTCTTCAGAGTAATATTGAAATCGTGACATCATAGGCGAGAAATGACACGGAAAAATTTATTGCACTAATTTTGCAAAATAAAGAGATATTTGAACAAAATAACACCTGATATGGCTTTAAGACATTTGTGAAGATAGGCGGCTGCTATTCTTTCTCTTCCTAATAATAAATAAATATTTGTAAAAAGCACGTGCAATGTAGCCTATATCGAGTTCTTACTCTTTTGGGTTTTGTGTGTGTGTGTGTGTGTGTGTGTGTGTGTGTGTGTGTGTGTGTGTGTGTGTGTGTGTTTGTTT